CCCGCCCCGCCCCGCCCCGCGGCACTCACACCTTACATTAGAACGTTTCGCGCTGTTGCGGACAGAGTTACGAGTTACTGGCGCCCGCCGCCGCCCGCACGCACCGCCGCGAGCCCCCCGCGAGTACTGGCCCCGCAGGTACATCGACATTACAAAACATGCTCTCATATTTCAGCGTGTGTGGCCAAACTAAATTCAGACTCCCCACTAACCATTACCTATCATTGTCTCTGGTCAAATGTTGATATCTACTTGAAGAGTTACAAATCAAACACAACTAAATTAATTCAATAGAATTGTTGTCTTTCAGAAATTGATTGACATAAGGCGGCAGACTAGTTCGCTTTTATCTAAATATCAAACAATATACATACGCAACATATCATAAAATTTGGTTATGCAATTAACAAAAAAGTACAACAATGGCGAAACAGTAAATAGCATAATTTAGGTAAAGTTGACACGCTGAAATATAGTAAAATTTTGGGAGTACAAGTGTATGCTATGCAGGTCTGCAGGTACTGTCATGCATGGGACAGTGCGCACTAGTCTAGCACTAGCGAGTGCGGAACTAAGTGCGGTGCGAGACGACGCCGCGGACCAGATACATGATACCACACAAAAGAACAACTTTACCGATTGTCGCATTTGTTGGTGTCTCATAGAAACAACTTAACTTTATTTACATTCTCACAAATAGTCTACAACTACACAAAACTATAATTTGATCAAAGTAAAGTATGTGATCGAGAGTAGCAACATATATCTTGTACACACTGCTGGAAGTTACAACATACATAGAATATGTTTACAGAACGTATTCCCAAGTTACAACATTGTACTTTAAAGTTGTTCTTTCTATTCTATTGTGTCGTGGACCGGACTTTGGCAAGACTACCGTCTCAACAATGGTAACAGATTGTCTAATATCCAGTGTGTCATACTTTCATTACATTTACAAAACTAGTTAATATTTGAGAGAACAAGAAGCGACGCACCTCGTGACGCGAGTTACGTTACTTGGTCCTGCACGGTCCGTCCACGACACAAACTCATGTTATGTATTGCCGACAGAATGGTATGGTAAAGCGATGGTCAAGAATTTGGAAAAGAACTTTAGAAAGATTAAATAAACAAAAAATAAAACTGTAAGCCAATAGTGTTATTAGAATCAGCAATACAACACGTGATACACCATCAAATTATTCTAAGCATGCAAGTATAACGACATAGTATACAGTCTTTCTTAGTATATAACCGTGTTTCGTTTCAAAAGTCATTATATTTCACGGCCACTGCATTGGACAATATGCCTGACATGTTTTAGTCTTTTTGGTAGCACTTATAGGCCCACATCATTTGCTGTGTGTAATCTGATATCACATCCACACCTGAAAAACGTCTGTGCATTAGACACGTGTGCCCGCTGTAGCTTACTTCGTACTCCGGGTAGCATGCAGCCTTATGATTCATTTTGTTTTGGAACCAGACAATAACGAATAGAAATATATGAAATGTTCTAGTGAGATTTCATTTGAAATAAAACACGGCAAAGTGAGAACGAAAGCATATTTGAAAGTTATTGATTAATTATCACGAGATAGCCAATCAGATACCAAGACAGAATGACAAAGCTTTGTGAAATTTAGAATTTGGAAGCGATGTGAGGAAATGGTACCACAGCCGGATGCCACCGCCACCTCGCGCGGGCCGGGCGGGTACCGGACGTCAACCATTTTGGGGAAATCACTTTCAATGTTCGTTAAACGATTTACGCACAAATATACTGAAATTGCTTCATCTAGTCCCCTTTGTAAAATACCAACCTTCCAATTTCAGTATATTTTTGTAATTACCTTCAAAATAATATAAGACAATCATCACTTATCCTGTACAGAATTTTTGAAGCAACTTAGCTGCTTGCCACTGCCTTTTAGAATATTCGTAACAAACCGAAAGAAGGCCCACGAGTTTTCATAATATTAAAAATAATTCAAAAATTCTGTATAGGCAATATTTATTAATAAAACTAGTAATTAAATGTTCTTTATAAAAAAAGTTGAGTAAATTATAGAATTTGCAAATTACAGAGTGTAATAAAATTGTAATTACTAGCCTTATCAATACAACACTTGTCAATTATATAATATCGTGTCTGTGTGTTGCAGCTAGCTGGTTCAACAATAAAACTGTTCGTGTGATTAGGGACTATTACTATTCAAATTATTCATTTTACATTTTCCAGTAATAAATAAAGTTGCAATAGGTTTCATTTAATGGTTCCTTCAGTTACTGACGATATTTGTGTATTGATTTAATAACTCAGCTAGTTCCGTCGTGACTGCGGTGCTTTATACAGGCAACAATTTAATGCGCAAATAATGCGGAAAAAGTTGCGCAAACTTGCGCAAGATCTTGAATATTTGTTTCTTCCGTATTTTTAAATATTTGTTAAATATTTATGCCGTTTGTTTTGAATCATGTTGTGCAAGTAATGGTTAGTCGAATACATGTTCTGAATTGTCTAGGTGCTGCGTGAACAAAGCACAGCGGTCTAGACATTGCGTTCCAAGGCTTATTTGAGCAAATAGCATTATTGTTTTTGGAATGTAAATTACTAATCTTAAAACATTTAAAGTAGAGAGAGACACTGTTAGCAGGCGCTAAAATAAGACTTAGATGACGCAGAATGGTACAAGTAGTGTCATATAGAGGGCGAGTGTGTGTGTGGTCGGGTGGAGTACGTACCGAGCGGCACCTGGCCGATGGGCCCGAAGACGGCGGGCGGGTCCTGCGCCGGCAGCGGGAAGTAGGCGGCCGACAGCGGCGGCGCCGGCAGCGCGGCCGGCAGCGCCAGCCCCAGCACGCCGTGCTTCACCAGCAGCGCCAGCGCGGCGCCGATCTCGGAGATGCCGGCCTCGCTGTAGCCGGCCTGGCGCAGCGCGGCCTTGATGTGGTCCAGCGTGTGCTGCGTCAGCGGCGCGGGCGGCTGCGAGCCGGGCGGCGCCAGCGACAGCGACAGCGACAGCGCGCCCAGCCCGCCCGCCACGCCGCCCACGCCCGCGCCGTTCACCAGCACGCCGCCCACGCCTCCTCCCACGCCGCTCAGCGCGTGGTTCTGTCACACGAATGAGCTCAGTACGGGTCACGCCGCGCACGCCTCGCACCACTGACACTTCTCTTTTATCTTACATTCTTTTATAAAAGATCGACTTTAACATTTAGCAAGATATGTAATCTTTAATAGGCCAATAAAAATAGTAGCACACATTGAACATTCACGATTACATTGAATATGCGTGCAAGTCTATCAAAACTTATAAAACACAGACAAAGATATATAACTCTAAAATCGCAATTATACACAACATTAAAACATTCATGTATTTGTGTCACGTGTGGAAAATTAAAAGAACTCAAAACCCATCACCATACAAAGATAGGATTCCCAAATTAAAAAGGTCCATATAAATAGAGAATAAGTAACAACTGAGAGTAGAGAGTAGAACCCAGAGCAAGATGTAGGACAGTTAGTATAGTGTACAAGTACTAGTGTACACATAGTGTAAGCGGTTAGTGTCAGTGTCTCCGTCCGCTCCACGCACCAGCTCACCACTCGCGTCAATAAATGTAAAATGTATCATTATTCGATAAATATTTCTTAAATATTTTATTATATTTTACCACCCTACTAAATTTTTTACTAAACTGCGACGCGATGCGAAACATGTACGTTATTTTCAAAATTAATTAATATTTGTTTCAAAATCGGTTATTAATGAACTGTTTTGACATTTCAAACCTTTGACTTAACAACGGACAAAGGCTTTAAGTGTTAGTATCGAGTCGCATTGCTTAACAAGATCGTGCGAGCGGGCCGCGCGAGTAGTGAGAGGCTGTGTGCCACCACTAGCACACGCTCGTGTCACAGGGGGCGCCACCGCCTGCACGCGCCGCGCTCGGCCCATACACGAGACTTGTACTATCTGGAGTCTAGTATATTGCGTCGAGTGGGGCGCGTGTCGAGGCGTACGTGGGCCCCGCAAGCCGGGGTCTGTCACGACATAGGAGCGTGTACGAGAGGTCACCTCTTTCACCTCAGCGGTGGGCACGGCGTAGGGCGAGCCGGTGGGGTTGTAGTTGGCCACGGGCCCCGCCACGTCCGCGTACGACACGTTGGGGCAGGACCCGGACTGCGGGTCGTCCACAACCTTCTGCAGGATCATCACGCAGGCCTTCTTGTTGTTCTCTTTCTCACCTGAAAAAAAGAAAATGTATAATTACTAATTAGTCAAGTAGGTACACGTTTCACATTTACTTACGTATTTGACTATTTTGATTTCTTAAAGTATTCACAAATCTGGATGTTATGGTCTTAACATTTCTTTGTGCGACATCATATGAGCACGATGCTGAATTAATCAAAGTTTTGATCAGGTCTCCACGCAGCGTGTATATACCGTAAATAAACTATATAAATGTATACATTACAATGTACAATATATATGTACAGTAACGGTGGCAGTGGGCCAGCAACGTGCCGCCAGTTGTGCACCATTTCACGCATTGTTCCTGCGAATGCTACTGTTAGCACTGTTCACACAGGTACCGATAGCCAACTAGTATCCATTGCGCTTGTAAACATCTCTAATTGCATTATAAATTCACTCTGATTTAGTTCACAACGAGCTGCTCTTCGGGTGCACTTGTCATATAGATTTACGATTAACAATATGTTTTATGTCGTCCAAAATTGGTGTGTCCAGTGTTTGCAGCGCTCGCCCTAATCAGGGCCCTAGTAAATAAATTAACGAAAATGGGAACTATTAAGCTATTTACGCATGTTTTGTATGCGAGGTAGCTATTTATAACTGCAAAATCAAATAAGAAGTACACATTAACTTAGTTGCCACCTGATGCAATACCGTAATAGGCAGGTAGTGTATCTAATCGAGTAGTATTTCTACAGCAGCCGTAACATAATGTAATAAAATAATGTTACTTTCAGCTTGTTTTTATTTCAATGTGTGTGTATAGCAAATTCATTATTTGACAGCTAATAAATACATATTTACAAAGGACATTACTTTAACGTAGAAATTAAATTTCCAATATATGTCCTCACTCCTCATCCTTGCAATTGCTAAATAATACTAATCTACTGCAACAAACACTTACACTTTATAATGAGTCACAAAATGACATAACGTCGTGCGATGATCGCCTCCTTTATTTCTCAAAGTAAAACTTCAGACGAAACATAGTTTATTGTTGTATGTTTAGTTTCAACCTTGCACAAACATCGGAATATGTCATTAGTCATTGTCACCGCGCGACGTGATTTGACCTTTGCTGCTGACTCTAGTGCGGCACTAGTCAAGCGAATATTTATTTTTAAGTAGCGGTACATACGTAACTATACATTATAATAAAATAATATATTGTTATTTATATGCTGCCTTGTAGCCTGGAGGCTGGGAGGTAAGACGTTAGAAGCTTTAGGGGCAGCCGTAGATAAATACCTATATAATTTTTCAAGTAAATATCCCACAAAATATCAGACCAATAGTTATGGCTAACGGTTTCATGAAAGATAGTAAACTGCTATGGAAAACTAACATCTTTGCCGACAAACTTGGGACACATTTTTCTTATTCCGTGTTTGCATTTCATGTTATCGGATAGTGTCCCGCGGCCCCGCTGCGGGTTGTGGGCGGGCGAGGTAAACGCGACGCGGTTACCTATCCGGCACAATTTCCCGCCGCATCCGTAACCACCGCGATATGGATGCCGCAAATCCAATATCAGATAATCTGGCTTTCAGCTAGTCAGCTGAATTTAAAATATCACATTTCAAATATCGGTGGGTAGTTTTAAAGAGCTTGTATATTTAGAACAATAGGGTATATGTTATGATAAGCGCTAGGATAAGTTGCGTCTGTGTTATCGTTATATTATTATTCATGTAGCCTTGGAGCAGAGTATATCGAAAACATCGATATACCTCATTTGTGGTGGAAGAAATAATACAATTTTCCGACATAGACGTATTCGATTTTGGTTTATAATGAGGTGCTTGTAATACACAAGGTCCGGCCATTCAGTACGCAGAGACGATTATGTTTGTAACAAAAAGTACAGTTCGACTACTACAATTAGGGCCTCAACGTGACCTCGCCTGAAGGGCAGTGGTAAAAAACTATCAGATTTCCATGTCCTTTATGTGTTCTTATTGTGATTCAAAACTACATTTTACAAAGCAGTTCCTACGAACTGACAAAATGTTCTCCAAAATACTAAAGTTCAAAGAGACCATCTGATTACCAACAAAAGAGTTAATATTTGCTTAAAAACTTTTTGTAATATGTCAAGTGTCATATAGCAAAAATACATGAAAGTTTTATAAAAAGTAAAAACCGATGATCTGTAAAGTCTATCGGTGATTGTGTAAGGCGACACCCTCAATCCTCTCACTCGCAGACGTTCGGCAGACAATTACAACACTACGTCTGGGTGTCATGTCAGTACCGACTTTTTATGACACTAATATTTGAAAGAGAAAAATTGTATTTTTACCGGACCCTTGGCAAAGCAAATATATTTGAATTACGAGTTAAATTAATTTGGGTCCTATCTCTATATCCAATTTGTTCGTTCTATGAAGAAATCCATTAAGTGTTTCCAGGAACTTTGTAATATTTAGAGAAGGGACGGGCCACGTAGTTGCTCTAAGAGAAAATAACAGTGGTTCCATTAGAAATATAAACGTGACTACGTTGGACGAAGACATTACGTGCCCCGCTTGGGACATATTCCACCGAAAGCTTAAACATGTCCAGCAAAAAAGTTGAACAAATTGACATTCGTAAGTAAATACCCCATTCTGGACCAGAACACACATCTTGCAGTCTCTCAAGACAAATAAATCAGTTAGAAACCTTTTACAAACATTTATTATTATTTGTTTCGCTAAAATTCTACCGAGTCTCGTACATTCAATTATCAAAGTTTTTATAGCTACAGCGAATGCTTGTCCATCACCGGTACAGATTATAGACAGTTTTGATACAGCTATTGTTAAAACGCTTGTTTAAATACTATCTAGATAATTAAAGGAGAAAGGACGTTACTTTGTAGCTTAAGCCTTTGTAAACTTTTACTTGGTGCTAGGAAACGAGGAAGAAGTTATTTATGATGATGACAGAATTACACATTTTGATAAGTATGAAATTTAAAAATATTTAGTTGTCATTTATACAGCCAACAAAAGGCAGGTAATTAATTGGTCAATTATGACTAGGTACTGTTTATCGGCCGACAACTAGCAGTAAAACTTGTAGTAATTATTGTCATAACCGGTCTGGCAACTAAAGCGTCCTGGCATGTTTATTGTTTTATTAAATTACATTATAAATACACTTGCTAACTCCCTATGTATACGGAGGTAAAATCTTAAGCGTAGACGTGTTAGTCTACGGACGCCGAAGGTTTAAAACTTATCAGTGAATAATAAAGATAGGATAATTTGGTGAATTTCAAATGAACACTTCAGGGGGGCTACTTATCTAATGAGGCTCGCCGTCATCCCAGATATCCAGGCCGCACTCCATTAATATTTAATTAATTGAGCACATATTTTCACCTGCCTACAGTTCCCACTTCATTACAATAATTACAGGAGCCCTTGGTGACGTTAATTTAAATAGCGCCCGCCTGTCGAGAACCCAAAGTAAATGGAGAAGACTGTAGAACTTTAGAGTTTATACAAAAAGGCCATCACAGAGATATGATTACGGAAATGTTCATCAGTAGTGTGTGCACAGTGATGTGATGGCGATGCAGGCGCAGCGACCAGCCAGTGTCCCGGGTACCGGGTACTCACCCACAACGGTGATGCACCTCTCTTGCAGCGACAGCTCCTTAGCTTTTTGCGAGATCTGCACGTAGCTGCCACTCTGTTCCTTGATCTGCTTGATGTAGTTGCCGCCTTTGCCGATGATCATGCCAGCTGTAGAGTTAGGCACCAGGATCTTCACCTGGAATGAAGACGTGATCGTGGTAATGGAAATGTTAAGAGGCGAGTGAGGACTGCACGTGACATGTTGTGAAGATCTGATGCTGAACGAGTAGACCGCGCCCAACGATACAAGCGTACTGCGTCACTTTATGTACAGACACAAGAAGAGTGACATGAACTTAAAGTGAATGTAAACAGTTGTGGTATTTAGTTTCCATCGCAATTACCTCAAAGCACTTCGTTGCTAATCTAACGTTTTTCCAAGAGAAATCATTAATCAAGGTACTTTCCCACGACGGACGACCTAAACGAGGTAAAATAAAAGCAAAGCTATACATACGGGCTAGCGTTTAAATTCCATTTTACGTAGGCTTTAAAACTGAGCAAGCCAGCTTTTATGTTCTTAAATGGAGGGTACGGCAGAACAAAGGGTGAATAAAACCTAAATACACTGTAAACTTGATTTTATGTTAAATGGAATTTGCGTAAACAGACAATATTGCCGAGGAATTATAATTGTGAAGGATCCGCCGCGCGCCACGCGCCGTTACCACGGGAACAGACATTAGCATTGTTGAATATGATATTACGACATTCTCGATTGTTGTTTATGAATTATTTAACAGTTCTGAATGTCATGTTTGCTATAGATTGGCATCTCTTCGTTCTGTTCTACTTAATTAAGATTCTCTATATGAAAGGTACAAATGGTCTTTATTATTCATCATGACTGGTGGTTGATATCCTCGCATCTGAGAGTGTAGGCAAAGGAATATACTGCCTACTCTCAATGAACATCCAGTATTTTACGGTTCACGGTCACGCGTCTAAATGAGAATCACTTGAGAAGAAAGAAAGCGCATAAAGTGAGACCTTAGACGCAGAGAAAACCTAAACCCTCGAGTTTACCAGTCGTACTAGTAACTACTCAGCTAGTGAGTTTGTTGTAAATTACAGTAATAAAGTAGAGTTCTTATATTTCAAATAAATTGGTCCGCCCTAACAGGAAAAGTCCCAAAATTAGGTTAACGAAATGCGTAGATTTAGCTTTTTATCAAAATTCCCGTTTGCGGAACAATAATTTAAGAGTTTAAAAATATGAAAGAGAATGAGTACTTATGTTTTCTATTAACCGGAATATGAATTATTACCACATATGTAATATATTAGTAGTTAGAACAGTCACATACAAAGACAATGATCCCTCTGTAGTTGTCCTCTGCGTGCCAGCAGCAGGAGCTAATTAATTGCGAGTACTGCGACATGTCAACTACTACATTGTTACACAACGGCCGGAGACGAAGCAAACCTAACACTCTTCAATGACATAATCTATATTATTTCAGTAATGAAATGCCAGTCAAATTATTTCTTGCCAATTATAAGTTGTTTCAAAGTGTTATACCCGAAAAAAGACAGGCGTTACGTAATATTTGAGTTGCCAGTAGGCGAGGGCAATTACTGTAAAATGAAGCTCCGCAGTGGGCACAGTTGATAACTATCGTAAGGTCCCTCCCACAGCGTGATGTAACGACCGCAGAGTAGTCCCGCAGCGCAGAGCCAAAAATCCGATAACTTTAACTACACTGCAGATGCAGGCACGCACTAGTACTTGTAGGGGACTCAAGCGAGCCATAACGAGGATCCCAGTATCTCCATTTTTCGCGACCCACGATATTGATCTATGACCCTGCACGTCACCGCACGTGGTCGGTTATACTCGGCAGTCGCTCAGCCGATATCGAGCACTGTTCCGCCAACGCTAATCAGCCGAGAAGATAACGGTTTAGAAATAAACGTTATTGCCACCATTACATAACCCGTGGAGTAAACGGCCACAGCTCTGGTCCTACGTGCTGATAGGCCAAGAAAGTTACTTCATTGGAATGTAACTATTTATTAGAACATATGTTGGTACATCCATGATAACTGATAAAATAGTAAACCTAAAATTTACTGCCCCAGAGCAGATTATTGTAAATATTACCCAAAAGATATGTCGCACAACAGAAACTAAAGAAAAAATATTAGTTATGGATCTAAGTTTTGAATCTTAAAGACTGCTAAACATGTGACCGCAACTGCATGCATAGGTATTTGGGATTATAATGAACCTGCGTTAATACCGCCGAGATCATATCGTCAAGAGCTGACACAACATTAGATGCAGAGCATGACACAGCCGAGTTTATCGCGGCAGTGCACACTAATGAATTACGTACGCCGATAGCACCGGAACGTGATTCGAGTTTGACCTTGCAACGACCACTTAGCTCTTACTACCTCATATGGGTATGTAAACACTTATTCTAACTTATTCCCAGGAACTTTTTGCACTCCAAAAGGTACCTTGATTACTTTCCTTTGAGTCGCAATTAAAACCAAGTAACAAGAGCATGTAATTAATGACGAAGACTTACAATAAATCATTGTTCGATAGGATCAGAGCTGCATTGCGCTACATAGGTACAGTCCATTTGTACTTGTCCTCTACAAGGCCCTGGTTTATGTTTTTATTTCTCCCGGCAAGTGGAACGGAAGCTCATGCATAGTATAAATATGTATTCTGTGGTTTCACGACCGCACACAGCTGACTTCATAATTCAAACTTAATTTTGTGACGTGCGTTCCTGTTGTGACAAGTGACAGCACTTTAATTTGTTTCATTATCATTTTAGTGAAGATTTCCATTAATTTTGTAGCTGTTTATTGTGTTGGCAAATATAATAGTAACGTGTACGTAGTTGTTCCAAACTCCATTGACATAATTATTATTTGGCATTATCATTGCCATATCTCTATACGCCCACAATGTATCGACGAACGGTTTAGGGACGCCAATGTGTTATAGAACCAGTATGTAACTTATTTAGATATGTAAGTCTGCTTTATTCAACTGATACTCGACTGATAAATGTAGATAACACGAAGCGCTCTATTAACATTATAATTAAATACTTAACCGAAAGTAAAGAGAGGTCTTCGAAGAATTAATTTAAGCAAATTATTCAGTTTGCTCCCTTCGAAAGACTTGATTACTTTATGTTCTCAAATAAATAATTTAGTAGAGCTTTCTCGGTAAATAAAGAAATTATACATCCCACGCACATTCTGCTGTGATGATGTTTTTCATAATATTTGAATGTTTAATACATGAAATGTACAAAAACTGACCTTTAAATGTCTTTTTCTTTATTTATTTCGACTTGCGACGATTACGAAAATGACCAACAGTCGTAATAAGTGTAGCGAGAAGTCGCACATAATGCGCACAACTGCTGTACAATGGCAGTAATCAATGTAATCATACGTCACCAGTGATTGATGACGAGCAACACTCCAACAGTTGCCACGCGATGTTCCCAACCACCCCACTGACCTCCACACGCCCTCCGTCTCTAACTTCGCAGGTATTTCAAAGATAACACTGAATAATAGAATAAGTTCGTGTTAAAAGTTCCGCTCTCAAAGGTCACAGGTTCAAACAATCGCCATCTTTGACAGTTTCGTGTTCAACGTTTCATCGATATATCACCAATTTCTTCGGAAATACATCTTTAATGTGTTTATTTAGTAACACCGCAGTGTGGACATGACACATTACATATTTTATTATATGTACAATAATTTATTGTCCTACATTTGGTATAGCGCGCAAGAAGCAACGACAACCATTTTAGTATCAGTCACAGTCGCAAAATAGTAGGTCCATGAGGTATTTCGAATTCTGAAAATATTCGTCTAAATGCGGAGATGAAGGAGTTGTAAGGCCGATAATGTTTACTTTACGGATAGCAACCGATATTTCAGAGCAAGGTGAGATCGTATGAATTATGTTCCTACCGACCAACCACATCATAATGGACAAAAGGTTCACTGGAGGAATATTCTCGAGTTGGTGCAACAATTACTGACACGGACAAAGCTTTAGAACTCCGAGTGTAGTCCGTGTTCAATTGTCGGGCATCTCCGTCACCAGACAATTTGAGCGTCTGACGCAGTTGCCGACCTGTACACGTGACCATTCAAATTCATTACCATGGAAATTGTCGCTTTAGATATTTATTTCACGATGAAAGCTTTCAAGTACAATATTTTCCTGTCCTGTTTTAATATATCATGGACTCAGTAATGAATTCCATTACGTCCAAATGTTCAGAAATTTCAATATATAGGCATCAAATTCTTCCGAAGGCGACCAGCAGAGTGGCCCACCTCAATAAATAAAAATACATTTGTCTATGAATACAAAGTTGCCCTTAACAGCGGTCGGCCATTTGCATGTAAATTGTCTGATATGGAGGCCTAACGGTTTTTGCTTACAATCACAATTTGATTTTCATTTGGCTAACCTGCTGTGAACACAGGATAATGTTTTCTCATCAAATTACTGCGCGTAATCACTTTCCGTTCGCTCCGTCATCGACAATCGCTAAATGGAATAGAACCAGTAACGGTTATGTGTTCCCTGATTATAACTATACAGAATCTGTTTAGCGTTGCTGTGTACCAGTTTCTGGGGAAAGGAACAGTTTTTCCTTATGATATAATACCATCTCCGTCCCACAGTATCTATCTCCGCTGCCGTTTTCCATCGATACTGATACAAGTCAACGAAATTATGATATTGGAATGAGCGCGTACCCGAAAGGTTTTCCCTTTCGTTATAACCTCATCAATGTTACCCTTCCATAACATAAAATGACACTTTCCTTCTTTCCCCGCAACATATCTTTTATCAATTACATTACAAATCGAAATGCCAGAGATAAATTAGCTTCACAAAATTGTGGCTGACAAGGTGATGATCAAATTACTACTTGTCTTTACGTTTGTTTCCATTTTAAAGTATATTGTGTTGCTAATTTTAATACCGACAGGTTTTAAAGACTTTGATATCACACATCAATTTCTTGAGTGTCATTCAAAAGAATAGAATATCATTACGAATGAATTAAATTAAACGTCCCATTGTTACTAGGCTGAGATCTTGGCCTGCCTGTCTCCGATTCACAGCTCGGCGAGTATGAGATACCGGGTCGCGCGCCGATCAGAGCGCTACTACCGACGCCGGTAATGCGGTCACGACACTTCACCCATTCAGCATTACTTCCGAAGCTACCAGCAGTAGTGAGGAACAATTGTACCGTCATCATTGAGCAACGCTTTGCTGGCTACGTCGATAGATAAAGTCCGCTGAACTCAGTTTATGTGGGACATATTTTTTACAATAATCGTGTGTCCCTCTAAAACAAAATATTAATTTATCTAGAAATTAATGAAATCAATCACAGTCCATGTGTAGGTGTGTGATAACCTGATAACACGTACAATTACATACTCCAGATATCTACTTTTTGTATGGAATACAAAGTGTATGAAAAATACTGACGTAACAAATAATATTTTACGTGACTGTGGCGTGGAAGGGAAATAGTACACGTACAGTTATATTGATGCAAATGGTCTCTGTATTTCCGTGAGAGAAGGTTCATATTTAGCATAAAACAATTAATAGAAAACAATGTACGTCGGCGGTACAATTATGATTTATTGATCAGTTGATCAGCACGCGGGGCACGTGTTGCGACTGGCGAGCTCCCGAACACGTGGCTCGCCCTCGCCGCGCCGCTAATTTAATATGCCAGCGTTGATACCGTTTAAAATCGTTCACGCCATCGCGAGGAACAACGTGAAGAAAATTTCTTTAATGTTTAATAGCCGTATATTATGAGTTAATCGATATCGTGTTCTTGATATGTTATTTTTATATGTATATAGTATAACGATATAAATTATTATTTTTAACCATCAAACATTTTCGTAAAAAACTTCTTATACACTCACCGGCACGGAATCTTGGCCAAGTGCGTATTTCGCGATAACAAGAGCTATAAGTGTTTCCTATGATTATTTATTATGAAGGTAGGTCTAAAAAATGTTTACCTTTAGTTCAAGAGGGTAATTTATCACGTTTGAGTGCAATATGACGTTATTGTTAAGTTTTAGTTGAACCCGGTCATCTGAGCGACTAAGTTGCTGTTTTAAATTTGTGTTTTGTGAAAGTTTATTGTTAGGTTATTCAATTATTGTCACATTGTACTGTTTCTTCAATGACTAAAGGTGATTTGATTCCAATAAAAATGCCATTAACACCATCACAGGTTGCACAAGCTGTAGCATTGATCGAACAAGGGCTGACACAGCGAGAAGTTGCTGTTATTCTGAATGTACCACGTTCATCGATGCAGTATGCGCTGAAACGATACCAGGAGACAGGCCGCTACTCCCGCAGACCAGGCAGCGGAGGTGTCAGATGCACATCAGCCAGGGATGATCGCTTTATTGTCCTAGAAATTTTGAGAAACCGCTACCTCACCGCTGTTGAGATACGCCGGCGACTCCAGTTCACAAGAGGTGTCAATGTTAGTGAACGTACAGTGAGAAGACGAATAGAGGAAGTGAATTTAAAAGCTCGTAGACCAGCACGTGGCCCAGAACTTCTCAGAAGTCACCGAGTAGCTCGACTACGATTCGCACGAGAACACGTCAACTGGACCCAAGAGCAGTGGGCTCGAGTACTGTTCACAGATGAGTGTCGAATCGCTTTACGAGCTCCAGATGGTCGGGAGCGAGTATGGAGAAGAAGAGGAGAGCGGTTTTTACCCATTACCACCACACAAACTGTTAGTTTTCATGGAGGCTCTATAATGGTTTGGGGAGGAATAAGTTCCGATGCACGTACGGAGTTAGTTATCGTCGATAACCGATTAACGGCAACACGATACATCGAGGAGATTCTTCAGGAACATGTGTTGCCGTATTCGGGGTTTCTTGGGTTCGACGAATTCCTCCTAATGCACGATAACGCGCGCCCACACGTTGCACATTGCGTGGAGGAATACCTTACAGAGGTTGGTATTCAAAAATTGCAGTGGCCAGCTCGTAGTCCAGACTTAAATCCAATAGAGCATATCTGGGACATGCTTAAAAGAAAAATAAAGTCCTCCTCCAACCCGCCTGAAACTCTGAACCAGCTTCGAAATGCAGCACTGACCGCTTGGGAAAGCATACCACAAGTTGAGATCAGAAACATCATCCAAAGTATGCCAGAACGAATGCAAGCTGTTATCAGGGCTAGGGGAGGAAACACCCAATATTAAAATGCAAAAACAATGAAGACTTTATGTTTATTTTTCATTTTGTGTTCTTTTTAAATTGACAGTGTTAAAATCAATATTTTTGTGAAAATGGTTATTTTTTAAAAGGTTACTTCTGGTGCATCAATTTTTCAATAACTGAGTTACTAAACCATGAAAAAACTCTAATTTAGTGCATAAACCCATAATATAGTGAAAATTAAATATTTAAATAGAAATTATCGGCGAGTTTGTCGGTGGCCAAGTTTCTGTGCCGGTGAGTGTATTATGTTCCCTGAACAACTTATCAAAGTCTTTGATACGAGGGCACTTAAAAAATACACTATATTTAATACAAAATTTCGTTAGACAATACTTTAATAATTCATTAAAGAGGCGCTGAAAAGGTCCCTCTTAACTAATAGTTACGTTAATTACTTAAAATTTAAAGCCTGGTTTGCCGACAGACGGGGCGGGCGCCGGGCGGCCGCTCGTGGCCTGTAAGTTGAGCACCGCCCCGGCTTAAAATGTTCAGAGGGACTTTGCCTGTAATTATTTTACTAAAGCAAAATTTGTTTCAACTGAAATAATGTTGCTGTAACAACTTTCCGTGTACCGAGTACGATGAAATAAGAACATTTTAGCTATTTATTGTGTTATCAATGGCAAAATAAAGGAACATGTTCATAGTCGTACAAAGACTTGAACGAGTATTTAATTTGTGGCTCGGTGCTACTACCCTGACATACATAGAGTTCCACTTTACACCCAACAAAGTAACGCGGAGAGGCTGAACAAATAATAATATGTAAATATAATAGTTTTGGCACAGCGCGCACTGAACGATCAACCCGTACCCGGGAAACTGGTGTACATAAGTGCATAATTGTGACATTTGTGTTCTATTGTTCAGCCGCGCATTGCAAGCTCGGTACTTTATGATTCAGGCCTCTGAAATACAACATGTTTATGACCCTTTACTTTGTACATAAAATTTTGTGCAATAGGCACCGCACACAAAATTAGGTCGTTAAAATGCGTAGCGAGTCACAAAACAGTTTGAAACGGAATCAACGACATTCTGATTACAATTTGTATGGTTTCCCAAATCCCATACAATTGATGCTTATATATTTCCTCCAAAAAATATGTTGCGCTCTTTTTTCCGCGCCATTCATTTTTTGGAGACGGAGTGGCGTCATCGTGTTCCTCTGACAACGGGACGACAGATTAGACGAGCTGAACATAACACTTATTTAGGGTTCCATTTAAATGGCAGCCATTTGTCTTGGTTTCGTACCGCCGCCGCGCGCCGCCCGCTACTGGCGTTGCTTACAATTTATGCGCCACTCCCGTCCCCGTATGCGGACGCCATGACAGGCGTAATGCGATGATTGAACACCAACGATACCCCCCTTTTTTGCTTATTTGCGAAGACAATATTGAACATGTTTTCGAGCCCGACTAAATCGAAAACAAGATAGATTTTGCTTAATTTTTGCGCAGCAAAAGGAACACATCCACACATTAAAACACCTCAGAATAACCCCTCTTTGTTGTAACAATATATTTTAACATTCGGTAATTATTTAGGGCAGTTTTACAAAATACCGTCAACCTCAATAAATTATCTTACAATCTGTTTTTATAAATCCTTTAACAGACTACTCAACTCATAGTTACAAACAAAGGCGCGATGGCTATAATAACTTTCACTACCATTTTAAGCATGTCCATATGTGTTGCCTAATACATTGTTCCAATAAAAACGACTTAGTCTCAGTCTACAGATTAGTTTCTCATTGTAACCTTTGTTCAGTATAGAATATGCACGTACCTGCTTGTCTCTATCCTGGGGCATCTTGGTGTCGAGACCCTCTGGGAATGGTTTGACGAGCTCAGGCTTCTCCTTGATTTTATCCATGATGAAGTCCAGGACGACCATGATGCCCTCGACTGAGCCGGTGATCAGGCATGCTCGCTCCGTAGTTCCTGCAGGCAAGAGATAAACACTGTCTTAAGTTTTATTATTAAAGAGCAGCTATTGAATCAGAATGGTCAATCTTTGTATTTATTTATTCCCAGAAAACCCATCTAATCAAAATTGTATTGTTCTCGTAAATGGTTCTGTGGACGGGGATAAACAACCGGATATTTTCTGGTCCTTCCGACCGCAAAAGGACCGAATGGGAAGATAAGCGTTAATAAGTGCGCTGCTTTAACGTCGGCATGACTATATTTTCACTTTATTCTTTGAATCACAGGGAGTAATTAAATATCCTTTAGACTTGGTTCCGTAAGTTTGCAGTCATATTGAAACTAAATATACGTCGAAATGGTATAATTGAAAAACGATATTATTGAACCTACTCAACGAGATTTTTTAAGTCGAAGCATCCATAGAAACTGGCTCACACACACACACACACACATGACTAGATGTTAAAACTTGGAGGCAGCAAATGTGGGTGGTGTGTAAAGATCGTAGTAGGCGGTGCTGTGTGGGTTAATCTACCCCCATGGGACAAAGGCGTGAGTTTATGTATGTGTATGTAAAGTCAGAATGAGAACTATGCAACGTACATATTTCCTAGTAATGTGTGTGTTCGTACCAGAACCCAGCCTAGTAGGCAATGATTAATAATTTCCAGTTGAAAGTTTAAGACCAGGTAAAAACATAAATGCATAAACCAGAACATGTTTTAAGTGTTATTTCTCAGATGTTTACGAAATTGCGCTTTCCAGAAATAGAGCATTTGCCTCAAATTTATTAATAGTCCTAAAAATTAGGGATAGCGATCACTCGCCGGTATCTGGCAGAATATCGAGATTATGGCGTCTGGAGCTATGAGTTATGCGAGCCCATTAAACTGGCACACTTCATTGCGAACAGGAATCGGGATTCTAAATTAATTGAATGTTTATGCAATTCAATTTTCTGAATACGATTACTAATTAACGTTAAACTACTTTTCATTTCACTTTAAATAAATCTATTAATTTACTTGATTCATGAGTTACGAGATTTTTCCGCAGCCGCACAGTAAAAACCTAACATTATTTTAAGGCAACACAGCTATCACCGCCTTTTCTTTGTTCCTAAGTTGAGAAGGGGCGCGCCTCAGACCCAAGTAACCTATTTTCCGTATTTTTCTGAGGCCGCACCGAGAAAATGTGACACAAAGTAACATCATTACCAATTGCCGCAGGGCGCCCCAAATCGCACACTTACACATTCAAATTAGCAAAATATCGCGGAGGTTCAACGTAATCAAGGTTTAGAGGTCGCCTATCAGCGCTGGAGGGTTATGGGGAACGGCACCCGGTGTTTCAGCATTATTGATCGTTTGGCCGGGCGGGCCAGCTTTGTTGCCCAAATGAATAGGCCACCGTCACGCGTTATTTGTGCCAAACTTTCATTGTGATTTTATCTAGATTTTATTTTGCTAAGTTCGATGGAAGATTAATGGTGTTTCTGACTGTGAAGTTTCTCTGGGAATTTATTATAATAATAAATGCTTTTGATTTCAATACTTTCTCTTTCTATTATTCTTTATCTGCCCTCCACGGGCATCCTGAATGGCTGCCAGTGCCACGCGCCGAATGTAATCTGGCTTCTTGACAAGAGCACTTTTAATTTCCGTTAGATAAGTCTCGTTTTTTGTTTTCTTAAACAAAGGCACAAATATGAACGATGTGTTTGTGTGTTCGTGACTCGTGACTAATGAATCGTATCAGCTACATTGCAATACTGGTAACATTACAGTTGCTCGTTTCTCAATAATTCTAGGTGATGAGCTAATTTGTTCCTTCTGCGGTGATGCAACGCTTACGTTACACCTGCCGGCCGAGTGCTCCGTGTTTCTATTACTTCGACTCGTTTAGAATATCAACGACGATGGCGTTCCTTGTTGCACTTTAATTTGACTAATTTTGTGTAATTTGCTAACGTTTAGAGAACTACTCCATTATATGTAATTTTTCGTCGCAGCATTGAAAAAATAAACTCGGATGAGAAGTGTTACTGCGGTCGATAGTTGGTATTCTACAGACGACTTATACTTGACATTTATACAAGCCGGTACAAGTGAATTAGCGACTTGTATTGTTAGCTCAGATATTATTAGTACCAAACGTTGCTAGAATTTGTTAATTACCTTGAGAGTGGTTTATATACCTATTTATGTATGTTCCGTTATCGCCAAATTAACATTTATATTTTCCTGTTTCTAACGCCTTGTCTGTGCCGAAGGCATAATGTTCTCGTCTGGAACTAACTAAAACCTCTAAATGTATTTTGCGTTTCCTTATAAGATAACTAAGACTTGTATTGTTGTAAATGAAGAGCTAAACTTTCTTGTATTCAACGTGACAGTATTATTTTATAGTTGTTCTGTTCTCTCATCACCTCCTTGAGCTTTGGACTCTACTCATGAAGACTGTTTATTTATTCCGTAGTTAATTGCCTTAAATTGTCTTAATAAATTAATTAATAAACGGCTTATTTTCAAATAAGTACTTCTTAAGACTTTGTTTGTACGCAATTTACAGGTTTTTCTTAATTGTAACCATTAATCATAATTTTAGTGTGTATTAAGTTGGTCCTTACTTCATTGACTGTACCTAGACAATGACCCAGTACCACTGCACCATGTAATACATTATCAAATCGTTCAGATTTCAAATTGATGAAGTGCAATGTTATCGAGTGGCTTCGTGAAGTAGGTAGTTATACTAACTATTGTAAAACTTGCTCCAAGGCCATCGTTGTAAACAAGTTTTTGTTCTCAACACTTCTAGGATACACAGTTAGGTACTAATCAACAAATCTTATGCACCTAGTCAAACTAAATCTTTGCATTATTATTGCCAATCTCAGTTTTAATAGCATCTATTTTATGAGCAGTGTCTCACAAAAAGCTATTTATTGGTGTACCAACAAATATCAAAGCGTGTGTAGAGACATCTTTGGCGCAGTCGTGGACACAAACTGCGGGAAATTATGCAACGAACAGACAGTATCATACACAACCGGTCTTATTGAGTAACTCCCTTGACCTTGGCAGCACTGCTAGCAAATGCACACTATTCTAAATCTTAACCATAAAACTTTAGAGCTTATTTTTGTTTATGACATGTCATTATCACTTGGTATAAGTCCAATGCTATGATAATTGAGAACAGTGGGCCAAAAAACTGTACCTAATTAGAAATAAGGTTGGCCGTGCGTTGGCACAAATATTAAAAGTATTGAAATGTGTCCGCTTTTGGCACAAACATTTGTTAGACGTAGCTCTAACAAATTGTAATAACCAGAGATTGCAGCGAGGCATGCGCGCGCCAGGCGTTGTCACACTCGGCCGGGTTGCCGTGGGCCGCGGCACGGTCAGCGCAAGGCTGCCTTCATAAAGAAAGATTATCACTATTATCCAATTATACACGGTACTGAGTTATTGTAGTACTTCGCGCGAAGATATTCCGCTTGTTTACACACTGCGTTATGAAACACTCGAATATCAAGAGCTTTGCCTCGCCATAAATCATTTGGAACACTCACATTATGTAGGCCAACTATTCAGAACATACTTACCGTGAACAATGTCAAACGCCGTTTGAACTAGTATTTCATCGAGGAATTTTAATTTTGTATATTTCATTTAATTTTATTTTAGACGGAACAACTATTTATGGAAATACATTTTCTATTCCATGTTATAAACCCGTTCGATAGGTTAGGCACTTTATTTTATACCCAACTATGCTAATAGATGGCAGCATAAGTCTGTTTGTTATAATTTCATTAGAACAAAGGTATGTTTGTTATCGACTGGAAATTATACGTTTTGTTTAGATTAGAAAATACTGACTTTAGGATTTGAAGTGTAATTTGGCAAGGTGTTTCAAGGACATGAAAATGTATCAATAAAATTATTTGCTTATCTGTAAATAAAGTCCTTTCATTTTCATCAAAAAGTGTCACATTCTGACTTTGGACGATCATCTGGTGCAATGTGCTGTAATCACTGTAATCGCCGCGACCAGAACAATGGCACTCGACAGTCGTGAACAAAAAGTATTCTACGTGTAGACTTCATGTCAATATAAATGTTTTCTTTTTTTAGGTCAAGGCCTTGAGAACTATGCCAGCAGCCAACTTGCAGTTCTATATTCAAATATACGTTCGATGTACGAATGACATGTCCGTTGACGAATGATGAGAGAACTACACAAGCACAAGCTTCTACATTTTCGTTTTTCTCATTTGAATGTGGTCGGTCAAGGTGAGCAATTCAAATATTTTTATTATTAAAATAGATAATGTCAGAGAGCATTTTATTGTCTTCGCCTATAATTAAAACGAATAAAGTAGAGGAGTGTGAATAAAATATAATTGAGGGAAGTCAGACATGTTTACAACACTTCGTAAAGTCATTATTACTTCATTTATAATTTACCGTCAACGAGTCCGCGGGGATTATTAAACTGTCAAACACCAAGCGGTCACCGGTGACCGCAACCTATTGTTCTATAATTGTGTCTACAAAACCGGTACTCGACGAGTTAATAACAGTATTCGTTATACTCACAGATTTCATTAAAATAATAAAAATTTAAAATTATTTTTCGTAAAGTTAAGCTATGGCTAATGGATTTAAATGCATTGTTTTTAATTAAAACAAAGTAATAACGCAGTTCATTAAAATAATATTTCGTAACGGCCAGCATGCAATACTTCTTAAACACCATGGTAACTGTAACAAACGTCAAAAACGACAAAATTGTCTGTCAAGATAGGTAATATATTTCATTTTTACGACGACCGCAAACAATGAGTTCACGATGCAACATTAGTTTGCAATTAACCTTTATTGTTACAGCGAGTTCTGATGTCATTACAAACGATTGATGGAAATCTACCTCTACTATAACTATTTACTCTAGTATTTGTGCTAGTCAGTTTATGATAGCACAATTTAATCATCATTAGAAGA